AATCCCCTGATTTATTATTTTTTTTTTTTCCCCTCTCTCCTTGGTCCAAGGTTTGTCGTTGAGTGAGGTGGCGTTGCCTGGTCGGTTTCTAGCCGAGCGCTTCCCCGCAGGTTAAGCCCCACAGCAGGGATGCCTCCCTCGCGCGAGGAAGGTTAAATGCCGTTAATCCCGTCGGTTGGTCCATTTGTGGTGTGTGCTGGGAGTGCTCCTGTGGGGCTGTACCTCTCTGCAAAGCAAAATGCCACTTTGGAAATTAAAATGCTTATCGAGTTCTCATCGAGAGACTACCCTTCCATAATTCCGATCTAAGATAAGGCGGAGACCTAAAATGCAGTAAGCCGTGAAAGTCAGCTCTGTTTGCTGATACAGAACTGAAATCCATAGTTTTGGTATCAGGACACAGAGAGATTGTTTTCAATCTTCTCCTGACCAATGAAGGGTGCCAAATCGGGGGAAAAAATGGCAGTTACTCTGGAGCTAAAGCTTTCTGAGACACTATTGTTAGAAAACTCAGATGGGTAGCACCAGCTTTTTTTAAACATCGTTTTAAATTAGTGCGAACACAAGGTTTTGACAGGCACATCTAAACTCGTAGAAAGCTACCGCACCTTTAGCAGTGTTTATTTGGTAGACAAGTAGGTATTTATATAGATACAATGTATGTGTGGATTTACATATGTACATATTTACAAAATAAAGCTGTCTGTCAGCTTTCTGGACTTAAAACCTGAATTTTCGTGAATGAAACCAGTTTGTTTTTTATGTCACATTTCTCATTAGTGAAGAGGGACACATCTGACTCAGTGTAATTTTGCTGTATAATTCTGAGTTCAAACTTTTCCACATCTTGAAGTAGTGATACCTAGAGATAGCTGAATTAGAAACCTGCTAGTAAAACCCAAGATTAACCACTATGATAACTGATCTCATCTAAAAGATGAGAATTAAACAAGGTCTGATGTTCTACTTGTTTTCAGCCACTGAAGATTACATTCGCTTTTTATGATAAAAGAAAAATGAGGTATTTAGTTCATTAAAATGCTCAACTGTGCATTTATGTTTTGTCAACTCAGTTTCCTAAACGGTCTTAGTTAGGTAGAAAATTTGTCACTTCCCGTTATGTAGTACAGGTTCTGTATTTTTTTTTTTTTAAGTGATTGATAGAAGTACTTTTTGGGAATAGTGGGTTTTGTGGCATGTTTTGCATAGAGAATTCCTATATTCCAGAGCAACTCAGTATTGTAAAATATTGTGAGAAGAGCAAGAATTTAATGTAGAATCACATAAATAGAGATGTAATATTAGAGAAGTGCAAATTAGATTATTTCTGGGACAGTATTTAGTAATTCTTGGAAGTTTGGGCTTCATGATTTTATTTTCCTGGTTATTCCTGATCGCTGGAATATGCCACTGTTCCAAGTATATATTTTTGTTGTTACGGAATTGCCTTATATTGACTAACATGGAAGAGATCAAATCTGATCAGGCAAAAATCTGTTTTACAAGATTAATCTGAACAGTAACTGAGGTTATTCAGGTTGGGACTCTGTGGTTGCTGAACTTTGGTATACGATTAAATCTCTCCTATTTTAAGGTGAGATTACACTGAGTAAACAGCCTTGTTCTTTCTTTGTTGATTAATGATCTATATTTACACAAGTCTAATAGTTGCTTTAATGCACCATCTCAAAGGCCATGTAATTCTAAGTTGGAAATGTGTATAAGAATAATATCACTGTCATTAGAGGACTTCATTGCTTACTTTTATTGCCACAAGAGGATAGACTTTTCCTGAATAAATAGAGATAAATAGAAAATTATGCACTCGCTGGTGAACTTTGCAAATCTTCTGTTATAAGCAAAAGTATCTGCAAAATTAATTTACCTATAGTTTTTAGTGGTGTAATTTAACCTTTGACCATAAAATTATTTTCATGCTTGGAACAGGTATGCACTTTACTTATTTTGCTGTTATGTTCTATATTGTGGTGTGTTTTTTTTTTTAATTTAAGAGCACTTCAGCGTTTTGTTTGTTGTTTGTAATTAGTTTTTCTGAGGGGTTGTTGAAACTGGTCAGCTAATCATAAGAGACTTTTCTATGTTCCTGGAATCCTCAGTGAATGATAAAAGTGATAGAATCTGCTGTGCTTTATAACCATATTTTGTTTTCTACTCTTTCAAATTATAAGTATTTTCTAGCCATTGTGAATCAATGACTTGAAAAGCAGCACTTAACTGTAGTACTTCTAAAATGGCTTTTTGGTATAACTAAGTATAAATTGCAAAAGCAGATTTATCTTCTGTTTTCGTTTCTTGTAAGAAGTGTTATTTTTAAATGTTACTGTTTTAGTTGTGACAGTAAAGCTTTGCTTTACAAGTCAAAACATGTTTTAGTTAGTGAAAATACTGCTACCTTGTCGGTGACAGGTTGAAGCATATTACAAAACAAAAATCTTTTTTTTTTCCTCTGTGAAATCCCTTCTGGTCATCCTTGCTAATTTCAAAGCATCCTTAGATTTTTGTATACTTAGCTTTGCTTTATACATGAAATAGACTGATGACATCTGGCAACTGACTAATCAGCAGGTCTATAATCCCAAACCAACCCTAACACTTCGATTTATTTTTTTTTTCCTTAATTTGTTTTGGTTTGGTTTGGCTAGCCAGCAGATCAAATTGCTGTGATGTAACAAATGTGAAATGACTTGGAAGTACATAGCCTGTGGGGGACAGGGAAGAAGCAGGTTAACCCTGTGAAAGAGACATGAGAGGGATCTGAGGATACGGTAGTGCGGGTGACTGGGGATGTATGTGTAATGCTATTAAACTCTCTTAGCCCTAAATCAGGGTGGTCACATGCAAACTGCCAATTAGTAATAATCCATACTAACTAAATACATAGTAAATGGTGCTGAGGATAATGTCACCAAATAGCCTGGAAGTATTTAGTGCTACGTCTTCATGTATTAGGATAGATGTAGGCTGGGTGTCCAGTGGATGTGTGTAAGTGGTGTTACCTAGGGAGAACTTGGAGGTGTTGCCCCATGGGCTATCGGGAGATGGGTATGACAGTTTAGTGCATGGAAGGCTAAGGGGAATATAACACCATCATAGAAAACTAGGTTTCATTAGTTACACTGTTTACCAAACAGGTTTTTGTCTTAAAGTTTTTTGTAAAACATTCTAAATTTTCTTGATGAAAAGATAAAGCAGTGTAATATTTTTACCTGCCTTCAAGCTTTGCTTGGATTGCATTTGTAGGCTTTTCTCCTCAACCAGGAGGGCCTAACAATTTTCTTTAGAGAAATGAGCTTCGTGTAATTGCTTGTCTGTTTTATGTAAAGCACAAATGCTTTATGTAAGCGTAAATATTTAGAGATTTGTAATAAAGTTAGACTTGCTGGCAGATATTAATCTCTGCATTGAAAGCTATCAGCTGCCTACAGTGTGACTTGATGCTGTCAGGATAGGAACATGGTTAGAAAGGCTTCAATGTAAGTGGCTTCATGGATCCTTATTATTTAAATAAACTGTAGGGTTTTTTAGAAGACTGGAGGACTACAGTACTGAAGTATTTAGCTATTTCCTAGAAATATATAGCTAATTAAACTGCTATAGTGTTGGTTTTTGTTTACTCTCAAATAACAAGTATTAGATAGACACTGAGAATCCTGAGCTGAGATTTGATGGCAGAGAGCTTCTAATAATTTAGACAAATAGTCTAGAAATAAGTACTTCCCTAAAAGACGTGTACTCATCCTTGATACTAGTCAGCATGCATTCAGTTGTTAGCTTCAAGTCTATGTTAATGAAAGTTGTTAATTACTTTGAACAGAATGGTGAATTCTGAGGAAGAAGCAGCTGGTGTGTTGAGCCACATCTAACTGAGGACTGAAAATGCCAGGTAAGAATACTTTGTGTTTGATTTCCAATACATATTTTATAGTTACCACTAGGTGCAAATTATAGGAGTTGCTTCTGTCTATACATTTTTAATGCTGCATTACAGCTGATTTTCAAAGTGTTGTGGTTTGGTTTTTTTATTTGAGGGCTATTGTAAAAACTTTAATTACAATGGTAAACATGCAGTAGCTGAGGATTCAACAGCCTTTTTCAGTGGTGTGCCAGATTGCATTTTTAATTCTTCAGCTACAAATTAAGCATTACCTCAGGGGGGCTAGAACACCTACTGCTTCAAGGGCTGAGATGCTGCCGATAGCCGTATCGTGATTCACAGAAAGGCAAGGACTCTCAGCAACAGCTGATTTCGAATCCATGCATGCTCCTGCCTCTTCCAGATCTGTCCCAGTGTGGTGCTCCTCTGGGTTCTAGGCTCAGTAAGGACCCAGAGCTACTGCATCTCCTGGAGAGAATGTGTCACCTCTGTTACCAGTGTGCTGCTGTTCACAAACAGCAAGGGCTAGCCCAAGTTGTGCGCTGATCCTGATGTGTGTGCTCTTCAAAATGTGCTTTCTTCAGGAAACAGAGTAGATGGTGCCAGCTTCATCAACAAGTAATAGCCTGGCGTGTTTGTACAATGTTGCTGAATTATCTTTGTGTGGTTTACGTTGTCAGTGGAAATTCTTAACTGAATAGTAAGCAAATTTCTTGGTAAATTTTCCTTGATAAAATAGTTCTTGTCCTTTGTAATTTTAAAGCATGATTATGCACTTTTTTAGCAATGGTGATTATTGAGCTAGTGAATCATATTCTAGGTTTCTTTTTGCAGTTGAAAGTGAGGCAAAGGCAAAAACTAAATTCCGCTTTGAGGAAATCTTCAGACGTCACGCAGCCCTAACAGACAGAAAGAAATCAAAGACAGAAGAGTTTCACTCTCAAGAGAATATTGTGGTGAGTTTGGACACATACAAGCTTTGGTTGCCTTCCTTAACGGAAAAAAAGATCAGGAAAATGTATTCTAGAAAGGAGACGTAAGCATTTAAAAAAAAATAGTATATTTCTGCACATATCCTTTGGTTTTGATGTGGCTTTTATTTGGTTTTTGTGTACCAGCAATGCATCCTTGTAGTTTGGAGGTATGCCAAAATTATATGGAATATAATACTGGTAAAGAGAAAGTGGCACATGCAGGCATGCACTCATCTAAAGTCTGCCAGTACCTTTTTTCCACTCACATTTTTCAGAAAAGTTTTAAGATTTTCAAATTCAGTATTGACTTTTGGGGGAGTTTGAGTGATAGGCTAGTAGAATTATGGCTGTAGAGGTATTTAATTTTGAGAGTATTACATCTATCTAATACAGGTACATCTGTTAAGTATCTCTTTGTAGCACATCTGTGAGTTGAGAACTGATAAGAATTTATAATAGTGTTAGAGATAATCATTAACTTTATTCTATTTCCAAAAAATTGCTCGTATAAGAATAAGAATTTACAAACAATATTAAACAATGTTTGAGACTTTTTTTTCAATTTGATCTTGGTAATCAGCATATTTCTGCATGTGATGAGCTTTGTGTTTGAGTGATCCTGTGTTTACATGTCTACTTAGGCAGTACACACATATAAAGATTTGTTTTAAAGATGTTTGCCTTTGCTTGTGACTTGTGGATTCGGCATGATTCTGTGACACTGACCTTATTAGTTAGATGACATTTTTGTTTGTGGCATATCTTTCATTAAAAGACCCTCAGAGATTCCTCTGTGTTTTGATTCATATTGTAACTTTTTTCCGGAACAGAAGAATAAATGTTTAATGAGTCCTGCATATACCAATTATTGACTTACGATGTTTGGCATTTCAAAAAAAAGCAATTTGTTTAAAAGACAAATATTCTGGTTTTTTATTTTCCTCCTGTTAGGTTTTATTTTTACCAAATACTGGAAGTGAATGTTCACTCTCTAATACTAATTTAAGACGAAGGAGAGGTATTTTATATAACATCAGTGTTACATGTATTTATCATATATATTTGTAATATGAGCACAAATTGTATGTTCATATGCAACTACATATTACTTGTAAATATTTTAGGCTTACTTTGGTTTTAAGATTGGTTTCCATTCCAGAAGTGTCTGATGTAAAAAAATGGTGTTTTGGAGTTACCTGGAAACACTTAAAGTCACAGTAAGCTGAATCAAAATTAATGGTATACATACAAATTAAGAAGCATTTTTAGGATTGGTGTGGTAGCCTAACTTTATGGTTTTGTTGAAGCAGTAGATTTTTACCAGTCTAAGCACTGAAAAACTAAGAACTTGAGGCGAACATGTGTTGAAACCCAATACTGGTCATTTTTAATATTTTCTTAAAGCGTGGCCGAATTGCAAGAGCGCAGGTTGGTTTTTTCCATGCTGGTTGCATTCAAGTAGAAATTTCTGTAAAAATAACTTCAGCAAATAACTAGTCAATTCTTTGTAAGAAATAAATGTGTATAGGAGGGGAAGAGGAGGTAGATGGAGGACGTTGGCTGGTTTTGTTCCAGTTTTCTTCACTTTAATGATTTAACTGTATAGAGTTTCACATAGCTTGAAATAATGTGAAATTTATCAGTGATGGTTGTCTTTGTGTCATAAGTCACTTTGCCGTAAATGGTCTCCCAGATTTGATCAGAAATAGGTCATGCTTGAGAGCATATTTCCACTGGAAATGTCCCAGTCTGTTTCTTTCTTTTGTCTTTATTGAACCTAGCCTTTCTTAGATTAATAAAACCTTTTCCATCACAGTCCACTGTTTCCTTGAAACCTGAGTTCTGGAGCTGCAGGAGGTTCCTGTGATTTTAACCAACAGAGTGAGGGCGAGGAGACTCCCTGCCTGCTTGCCTGCTCCATTCTGTGTGCGCGTTGCCTGGAGAGAAGGGAAGCAGCCGGACTGGAAGAGGAAAGGCTGCTGTCTGTAAAGCAGGATGAGTTTGGAATCACAACCTATAGGAATGAGGGTCTTGTAATGGAGATGGACACCATCTGTGGCCAGTGAAAGGTCTGTAGCCACAGGTGCAGTGGGTATGAGGCCTGAAGGCATGGCTGAAAAAACAAGCAATTGGGACACAGTCAGAATGTAAATTTGCTAGTTCCCTTCCAGGGCTAACAGTCGTCATATTTATTTTTTACCAGTTGTGCCTCCTATTAGTTGTTAGAATGAGGCAATGCCCAGGCTATTTTACCCAGATAGGTTAATCTGTCTAAAGTCAGCATGGAAATGACTCATTTTATTTGGTTCAGTCTAACTTTCATGGTGGAAAAGAGGATGTTTAACTCAGAAAATGTCAGTGAAGTTTTCTACCAGTTGAAAAGCAAGATCCCTTTATGGAAGCAAGAATTTCTGTCCTAGACTGTAGTCTGACCAGCTTACAATATTGGGATGAGCATGCATTGGTAACTAAGGTTTCGTATTCAAGGCAGGACTGCCACAGATTTATCCATTTGAAACTTTTTACTTCCTACCTCACAGTGTCCACTCCTTCCCTTTCTTCAAGGCCCTGATGACAGGTTGGAGTCTGGAGTTGCATGAGGGTACAGGCAATAGGAGTCTATCTCCAGGCTTGAAAATTCTTGTATTCTTTTGGGTAAGATAGATGTTTCACAGGTTTCTCCCGACTAATTCAGTATTTTAGCTTCCATTTCAGATGTAGAACACAACCTGCTGAGCTTTGAGGTTGTACAATTTTCCCAGGGTCTGTTTCATAGCCCATTTTTTTTCTATAAGTTGACAGGCACTGAATAATTGTTGAGATTTCCAATGGCTTTTAGCCCTTTGTTTCTTATATTTAAAATAGGAGAACTGCTAATAGTTGACTGTATACTTGACCTACACATTTTCTTGATGTTTTCTGTTAAAATTTGGTGAAACTTCTCCAAGCCCAGCCTGTCTGTAAATTATAGTTCTTCTAGCTTTGAGCATCTACATTTTGTAGACTTACGTGAGCAATGGCAGTAAAATTGGTTCCTTAGTGCATAAAAATTTTCTTAAACATCCTGACTAGCCAGCATTACAAGTACATTCTTTACCAATTCATTTGTAAGTAAATGCTCTTTTATAACCAGTACATGTCAGCCCTTCGGTGGACTGGCAATGTCCATTCCTAATTTTTCAAGGAGTGCCTGTATTATGGAAAGAAGTCCAGGTACCTCTGTAAATCTGGTTGAGTTTCCAGATATCCTGGGCAAAATCGCTTAATGTGCTTCCAGGTTCCACTCACACCTATTTGAGAAGTCTTTTTAAAAGGGAGTAAGATTATTAGGCATTGTTCCTGCTGTCAGGTGGACAAGTGCCATGACCTGGGGCTGGCTCCTGATGGTACTCACCTGGTGTTAGCTCACCTGCGTGCATCTTGGCTGGTGCCTGTCTTGCTCCCCTCAAGGCAGTAGTGCGAGTTGGTGTGCTCTCAGGGAGGGGTGCTTCGTCTGCCCTGCTGTTGTCATGTGGCCATGGAGATGGTTTGAAAAAAAAGCCTTTTCATTCGTTCTGTGCTTTAAGCTGAGGAGGTGAGGTTCAAGTCAGCAACCCTCTGGAGTTACTCTAGAGACAGGCTTGTCCTCTGAGCTGCTTTTCCAGCCTAACTGCTTTTTCTAACTCAGTTCGAGTGTGTTATATATAGACGATTGCTCTTAGCTGGTCTCTTGTCAGTCCTGCATTTCAGACAGCGAATCTGTACCAGTATCCCTGCTGCTGCCTGAAACCTAATCTGATTGTTTTTATGAACCTCTTGGATTTCACTTTATCATTTTGTGACTCCCTCCCATCTTTCCTTTTGGTTTAATTATACCATGCAACTAAACAGTGTATGTGGACAAAATGGCCTGAGTTAAGATCATACAGTCTGTATATCTGAGGAACTGGTGTTTGAACAGCTGAAGCACCTTTGTGTTAATGTTCGTGGGATTTGCTGTAGTTTGCGATTGTGTTTTATTTCATTGTGAGGATATTCTGTATTTTTTTTTCCTAGCAGTAAATTTGCTATAATTAAGTGACTGCATGCTGCTGCTATTCATGACACATATTGGTAGGTGTATGTTTTTGTTTGTAGGCATAATAAATAACAAGTTCTAGTAAATATTTCAAGTTCTTGCAACAGCTAAGTTTCTTTGAGGAAATGATTCTTGACTTAGTTCAGAAACTCTTGAACAGGTCAAAGATGAGGGCTTTTTGTTTAGGATTTCTCAAAAGAATTCTACTTGGCCTTAATGATTAATGTTCTATAAAAGGCAAAAATCAGCATGACCTTAGCTATTAGTCACTGTTCACTCTTATTTGCCAGTGTGTTTTTACCTTCATTCCTTATACTCTGCAGTTAAAACTATCTGTAGAAATGTAGATAAGAACGTGGACAATTTATTAGAAAGCATTATTTTATTTTTGTTTTTGTTTTTTTTTTTTTTACTTTATAGAAAGCTTGCTGCTTTTTTTTTCTTTTTCTGTTCTGTATTTCAAGTTATTTATGTGTAATCTTCCACATCCTCTTAAATCGTTGACTTATGAATAAAGAGGATGTTACTAGTCTATCTAATCAAGTAAAAGCTGAAGGTACAAAGTCTTTTTCATGACTTGATACTGAGATAATTTATTTTTAGACATAAGATGCTAAAAATAAAGATACCTGCTGAAAAGGCATATGAATGGCTTTAGATTTGACCCATGTATTAGATAAGCATACTTGCATGAAATTCTAGATGCTTTCTTTTTTAACTTGTACTTTATAAGGACAGTGTTCTTTAATGTGTAGCATTAGTTAGTCTAGTTAGTGCATTTTTAAGCTTGGTTCTAGTTTCAGCTTTTATTTCTGTGTTAACCTTATCTTGGTTTATTTTTCTTGTCACACTGCTTTATTTGACAATTTTCCTGTAAAAATAATATATTTCTTTGATTTTTTTCTCTTCTGGTTTTTTTTTACTCAAACTTTATTTTTTCCTGCCTTCTTCTTCTTCTTCTTCAGTACTTAAAATACTTTCCTTGTTCTGCATGATCTCTCTTCAAATGACAGATGTGAATAAAACAAGATAGTGATGAGGGTTTGCGAGCTCACGTGATTGAGGGCATACAGTATGGAGGCAGGTGACTTGCGCGTTGAGTATTCTCTTCTTTCTAGTCTTGGAATATTATTTTTGCAAGTGGGCATTTTAAAGTCAAGATCCATCCTCCAAAGCATGATTGCTGTTACAACTTCATTCTCTGTCCATGTGAATTTTTTTTTTTTTTCTTCTTACAAGCTTGTACATTTTGGTGATCAGTTATTACATGTATTATCCCTTTTTCAAAATGTTTGATGCAAACATCATACTGTAACTGGGAGAAATATCCCAGCTAGAAGGGGAAGACATCTGTGTTTATTGAGGGAGGAAGATAGCCTTGGAAAAGAAAAGATTATATACAGATACTTATTTTCTCCAATTTCTTTATTTGTTTTCATTATGTTTTAAAGGCCTTTCTGATGTTTGAAGTGGAGACTCCAGAGAGTTTTATTTAAGACAACAGAGTAAATGAACCTCAGCAACTTTATAGAAGCTCCATCAGGGAACAGAAATCTGTGTGTCAAGCACCCTGCAGAGTTAGGGCTTAGTTACTTGCTGTGTTGTTTGGAGTTATAACATGTAGTTAACCAGGAATATGAACCTGAAAGAGGGAGGAAAGTTTACAGTGTGTTTGCTTAAAAACATCAAAAACTGGCAGAAGGAGGGCACAGACAAATGCATTACCTGAAATTTGTCTTAGCTGTTTTAACTAGACTGGTCTTTAGATCAACTGTTCATCATTTTACTAAGAATAATGTGGGGTTTTTTTTCAACTTTATACTTCTAAAAAAAAGTCTTAATGGAAATCTCCTTTTTAAGTTTTAGCATGTTTTAATGTAATTTCCTTGTCAGACTTTGGCAAGCAACTTTCAGTAAAAGAGACAGCAAATAACTGAGCCTGAAGCCTGTCTCTAACTTGCATTTTAAATGGATGAAAATATTTGCTTTCATGCTGCATGTAATCTTCAAGTCTTCCACAGTATAAAGCATTGAAATTTGTTTATGGAGTAGAGTTATTGATTTCCTTTTTTGCTGGATATATGTAAAAGTCATTGATGAACATAGTGAAACTAAATTGAGGATGAAGTATCCAAACACAAAATGTTTTTTTTTTTTCAGTGTGGTTTATCCGTTGCTTTTCAGTCTGTTGCTTGTTAATTTTAAATGAGAAAATAACTAGATCTTTTGAGTTTATTTTACTTTGTGTAATGTTGCTAAAGAAATAACAGAAAATACTGTGTATCCTTAGAACACAGTTTTTATTACAAGTGTGTTTTTTGTTCTTTTCATTTATAGCTTGACACCTTTAGAAGTAATATTGATCTAGCTAAGGAAAGTGTGAATGATGAGGCAATTATAAACAATACATATAATCCTGAAGAAGAGAGTCCCCGATTTACAAAAAATAAACTGAGAGAGAAAGCCTCAATTGCAGAGAAAATAAACAATGATGTTGTTAGTGGAGAGGAGAACAAGCAACCTAAGTCTAACAAGAAGAAAAAGAAATCACTGTTACAAGAACAATTTAATGAGGAGGAAGATTTAGATGAAGCTAAATTGGAGAGTTTTGAGAAGAAGATTAATGATTTCCCAAAGAAGAAAAAAAAAAGTAAATCACAAACAGATGGACCTGGTCAAGAAAGTGATAGAAAGATTAAAAATTCTTTGACTGAAATGAGAAATGTAACTGAATTGGAAGAGGAAGAAGAGCTAATTCGAGCCTATCAGCTGCATGTGGCTAAGGATGAGGCAAATGCAATTAAAAAGAAAATAAGAATGAAACTTAAAGAACAGATGTCTGAATTTACCTCCAGTATTCAAAGCCATGAAGTTGTATTGAACAATGAAGTTGGCAAAAAGAAGAAAAAGAAGAAAGAAATAGTTTCAAATGAAGCTGAAACAAGGTACCATGATAAAGTGTATACCGTATGTCTGTGAATCTTAAGTGAAATCTTTCATTTTGTTTTAAGACAGGCAGAAGCTTTCTGATATACTGTACATATTTTTCTAAGTGATAAACTGGATTGATTCTGTTATGAAAAAATATTACCAAATAACTTTTTCAAAATGCTGTCAAGATTAATATTTAACTTAGAGATTCTGTTTAACTTTTTTTTAAAATTATCCTCCATTGCTATCTGATGTTTATTTTCTGTGGAATTCATTCTTAACTAACTTAAGATAATTTTGTGCATGGTTTTTTATTGATGAGTGGTGGCCCTGATCCAGCAGAAGTGTATTAGCTTAGTTCTGTTCACATGAAGGGTTCTGCAATTATCTGGAAATAAGGGAGAAATGAAGAGGGTAGAGAAATGAAAAAGGCAAGGCACTAATGTTGAGGGAGGGTGTTGCATTTTCAAGATACACAGATGATGAGTTGCAGAACTAAAGATGAGATTTCAAGTGGATTGATAATGGTGATGAGGAATTGCATCCATATATGCAGTAGAATGCAGTTGCTGACAGTAACTCATTACATTGCAGTGCAATGTCCCTTTCTGAGCTACAGCATCGTCCAGCAGAAGATGGTCATGAAAATCAGTCATTGGAAAGACTAGTTACATCAGAAGGACATGAACTGGAGGAGAGCATGGAAAAACAGAAGCGTAAAGCAGTGAAGGTTAAAAAGAAAACCAGAAAAGGTCTGCCAACAAAAATGTTAGAATGGTGTGCTGCTTTGCTGCTTTATCCAAGCCTTTTTTCCTTTTTCTTTTTTTTTTTGTACTGCTACAACAGTATTTGTCCATAGTAGTAACACAAAAGTGATTGAGCTGTTGGAGTTACTGATGTTAATTTAGTTATTTAGTTGTATTTTTGTTCTTCCATTTCTGAGGCTAATTTGTAAGGAAGTTAATTTGATGCATCGATCTAAAATCTTGAGAATTCATTTACTGTGAATAGTTTTGAAATTGATAAATACTTGAAAAGGGTTTTTTAAGCATAATATAATAATATTTAAATACATATGCCACCTTTACAATGTATTACTTAGATGCATATTCAAATTGTCTTTTTATTTTTTTATAATTTTTATTTACTTTTTGCTATAAATGGTGTATCACCACTGTTTTAACCTGATGCTCGATTCAAAGATAAGGAATACTTTTTCATGCAACGCATAGTCAAACAGGAGAATTAATTTCCTCAAATTCCTGAATTCCTCAAAATAAGAAAATAGTTTAAAAATCGGAGATTAGAGAAACTGATGATGAGGAGAGAAGTAGGTCCTTTGATATGTATGAGTTATGGTGATCTCACTGTAATTTCTAGATGAGGAAGCTCTGCTAACAATGTTTGGTAATTCAGAGAAAACACACATGGAGAAATCATCAGTTTCTGCTTATCCTGTTTTTTACGTTTTCTTTAAAAAAACAACCAAAGAAACAAAAATTACTCTAGGCTGTAGTCCAGCGCAGGATATTGAACTGTCTGGCTTTTAAGTCATTGTGGCAGAAAAAAACATATGTCAATCAAGAGAAAGACCTCTGATTTAAAAAAAAAAAAAAGTTTGTTAATAGGTATAGATTATATTAATGTATGTTCATGTGTATGTTCATACATGTTTAAAATGCTGCAAATCTGATAATTTTATTTAACCTCTTACATAAAGAATGTTAAGTATTAGTACTTTAGTATTGATTGCTAAGACAATACAGAGCATTTTTACTCCTTTAAATTGTCCTTGTGGAACATAGTAACCTATGTTTACTTTGTTCCTGTTTCTAGAAGAAAACACAGAAGTTGCTGCAGAAAATGACAAGGAAGTGAAGAAATCAGTAATTTCAACTCAATCTAAACTAAGTTTTGATGATGATCTTGTGTTGGGAGTTTATATCCATCGATCTGACCGACTTAAAACTGATCTCCTGCTATCTTGTCCCATGGTTAAAATCCATGTTGTTGATCAGAGAAGTGGCTTATACGTCAAGAAGGATCATAGGTGACTTTTATTAAAGTGTTTCTATTGTCAGGGGTTACTATAAATACATAGATACTTACCTAGCAAATTAAATATGAAAATGAAAATAATACTGAATGTTAAGCTTGCAAGGTTATTCATTAGTTTCTACATCTACACAATACATATATATACACCTACAGTAAATTAGGGTGGTATTTTTCTTTTCTTTTTGGCACTTTTAAATGCTCTGCACTACTGTGTTGGTCTTGAGATTCACACATTTACAGCGCAGTTCATTTTGCATTCTTTCCAGGGAGAACATTTCCTAAATCTTAAAAATATGTAGAAGCCAAGATTAGAATAAGTAAGCAAAACTCTTGTAGCATAAATAGCGTCTTAAATTTAATTCTTCATATTTCTGATCACTTTGGTTACTTGTTTCCACTGACATTATGCATAGTTTTCCTGAAAACCAAATTTTAACCATGTTTAAGCAGTAGACTCTACCACGGTTATTATGGTAACAGCAACTTCAGCCTGTAGCGTTTCTATATACATTGAAAATTGCCTTAAATTTTGAGTGGGTTTAGAATTTTTTTTTCTAAAATCAAACAAATGGTATCTTATATGTTTCTTTGCTTTCAGTAAATGAAAATACTGTTTTGTTTGAGTTGGCATTTTAAAGGCATGTAAAAGTTCTAACTGTTTGGAAATTTTCAAACAGCGAGAGGAAAGTTTCATCTCATGATGAACAGGAACACATAGAGCATGTTCTTCCTATTATGACACAACCATATGACTTCAGGAAGTCTAAGTCAACAGTTCCAGAGTGGGAGGAGCAAGTCATATTTAATGAGCGTTTTAATTATTTTATTCAAAATACTGAAGAAAGCCCTCGAGTAATACTGTTTTTTGAGGTAAGTTTAAATATTTTACATCAAATTTATGCGCATTATGATTTTCTCTTTGTTCCTTCAACAATATGTATTTGACTGATTCAGGTGTTTTATTTCAGTTACATTGGGTTAATAGCATAGCCTTAACATACAGAACTAAGTTGGAGGTACCAAAACATGGGATTGCTGATACTAATAAACATTTTCTGTAGCAAAGAAAACTGTCTTTTGATAATAGCAAGGGGGTAAGCTTTCTTATTAACTCAACTGTCAAACTTCTGGGAAAGGCTGGTAAGATAATTACAAATCAGGAGGGATGTGGCACCACATATAAAGGATATAACTTTGTCCTTTTCCACATTCTTGAAATCTGAAAAGAAGCTTAAAAGTACCAGAAACTCAAAGATGGAGTTTGCTTGCTTGTAGCAACACCTCATTTCCCTTGCACCAATGAGCAAGCTATTGCATTGTTTTCCATTAACATTTTAGACCTATTTCTCCTCTCCTGTTTTTTACAAAGTGATTATTAATTTGACCTCCAATACAATTATGCTTAAAGGAAAAACTGTAAGGTATGTATTCAACATGATTTTGAGCTTAAGTATTTTAATATTTGTAAAGAGTTAACTTGAAAATGGGAACCTAATGTTTTTTATATTTTAACTATATGGTGATATTTGTTTCTTTATCTTCTGTGATATTCATAAATGAACACATTTATAGATTTGAGTGTCCTTAGTTGCTTAAGACAAAAGGGACTACATTTGTATGTAAAGATTCTTCATGGAAATAATGTTAATGATGGGTCCAAAAGTATGTCTACACTGAAAGCATGTTGTTTGAATTCAGCATGGTTTATGAAATATCAGTTTGAATATAGCATGATTCCAAGTGGTTTTTTTTGTGTACCAGATAAACCTCCAGGGGTTGTCATTAACAAGAAAAATGAAGAATCTTACGGACATCACTGCAGTGTTCAAAGTCAGGTTGGACTCGGCTATGAGCAACCTGATCCAGTGAAACAAGTCCATGCCCATGGCAGGGGGGGTGGACTAGACGATCTTGGAAGGTCCCTTCCAACCCAAGCCATTCTATGGTTGATTCTATGACATAAGTGATAAAGCCAGGAAAGGAAAACTGACTTCTTGCCTGCGCTTTTCCAGCTAGGTTACCATGCATCTGGTTTTGGCTGTCAGATTTGTGGTCTCTATGATTTGTGAAATTACACATTGATGTTTTGCATTTTTACTGAGGCAGAAGGGAAGCAAGAATAGTGTTTTAAGACCAAGACTTTTGTTCTTTTTTAGAGCAGGTCGTAAATAGTCATCAGATAAATGCATAAGGATCTGTTATTTCTGATTGTATACTTGTGTGGAAGAAGTACTGTTTTTGTCACTGCTTAAAACTGAAATCTGCTTCATTGAGTGAATCACATCTAGCATATTTTCAGCAGTATTTTTATGATTAAGTATTTTTTATACCATGAAGTATATGTTTATTAGAAATATATTTATATTCCTACCAATACTTACAGATCCTTGATTGTCTAAGCAAGGATAAAGTGAGAGCCAGCTCTGATGTGCGAATTCAGGAACGTGGTTTCCGAAAAATTTGTTGGGCGTTTCTAAAGGTATTGTAAATATTTAAATGAAGAAAGAAAATCTCTAAATTTTTCTGTTCAATTCTCTAAAAGACGCTAACCCTACGAAGTGGGAAAACGTTTTTTAATATTTTCAGAAAACAGAGATGGGAAAACAAATGCTGGCTTGCTTGGTTGTTCTCTCCTTTCCCTGTTCCTTCGCCCCATGAAGTTCATAGTAACAAGCTTGACAGTAAAGAATTTTATTAAATGTCTTTTTCAAGAAAGTATAGAATGTGTAAGAATTTTTTTGTTCATGAAGTACAGATGGAGGTTTTCTTTGGGGTTTTTCTGTGTGTCATTGTCTCTGCAAAGAAAATGACAAATCCACTAATTTCTGTACCTCACCTATTCTGTAATCTAGTGGCATTTTCAATTGGCCAGTCGTTGAAAAGACTCCCTAGCCTAATTATGTAAAGTGCCTGTCATTTTTAGTTGCAGTGTTTGAAATGCTGCAGCAGAGATACAGGTAATTTAGCCAACACGTCATGTAACTCTTTACACTTTTTGAAGAGAGTTGAATGTGCCCATTTGGCCCTTAAGTGCTGACAAGGTATTACATACCTTAACTTGCCAGAGGATTGTTCATTTACACGTACCCCTGCAGGTGATAGATCTTGACAACCATTGAACAGTCCACAACATGAGAAATACAGGAGAGGATAACGGACTGCAAGTTTAGGGGAAGGGAGAGGGACCTCCATATCATTCCATACAGAGTCTCTTCTCAACTTTTCACAAGATGAATCTGCAGGAATGAGGGGTCTGGTATCTTGCAGCTGGTGTATAGCTGGTGGGAACTGTGCTTCCAGGCATTCAGCACAGCCTGTTCCTGAACAAGGGGAAGGATGGCTTTCCAGCCAGTAAACACAAATAAAATTGTGGCTTGTTCTTCATTCCTACTGCATTATCCTTTCTTCTGTGTCAGTCCAAGTAGAAACGTACTAATAAACAGTGGTCAGTGCTAGTGGCAGTAGGCACATACAGAATGAAAAATATAAGCACTAATTTCTATCTTGTCCTTTAGTTCAATAGAGAGAACCTTCCTCTGAAGGTGAAAAGGGTACTGCTTTTCTGTATCTTCTGCTCTGAGTCAGAGCTTTACCAGTGCCCTTTGCTGCAGCGTTCAAAGGGGGCAGGCTTGGAAGAGGCTCTTTGTGGATTGACGGTCCTTTGAGATCTGTGTGATTCCAGCTTTTTTAAAAAAAAAAAAAAAAAAAAAAGTGGTACTGCGGAGGTCTTCCCACATACAGGGTATTACTGTTGTGCATACAAAACATGTTTCAAAGCTAGGCTGTCATCTAAGCTTTAATCGTAGTGATTTGATCCTGGGGATGTTTCATATATGCTTACTTCATTACCACTTTTGGGGATAGTATATTTCCCCAATGGGAAGTGGATTCCAGAGTTTACACTGTAGTTAAGACGTCAGAAGTAATCAATGACTTTTATTACTTTTATGCTAACATTACTCATTTTTTTCCTCTTTTTAATCACCCTTCCAGCTTCTAGGTGCAAATGAAGTTCACATTGATGCAAAACTCCGTCTGCAATTATATTACCCGCCCCCAAGGACCAAGTCACACTCAAATGTTGTTGAGGTTTATGACTGGTGGGCAAAGTGTCCTAGAAATCGCTACCCATCAACTTTGTATGTAACTGTAAGAGGCATAAAACTACCAGAACATGTAAGTTAAATATATAATATATTTTATGTTTACAAATATACAGACTTTTCTGTAGGAGTTGGTAACTAGCTAGCCTTCTTTCTTTGCAACACTTGAACATAGGTTGTTCGATTAGCATAACACTGGTAATATCTTTTGGTATCATGAATGGATTTTGTTGCCAAAGCAGTATCTTGATTTGAAGATGGTAATGTCACTGGAACATGCTGAAATGCTTTTTTTATACAACAGTGTTGCAAGGTGGTAGAATGTTACTCATTTTTACTGACCCAGAGAGTTAAAAAAATAGTTAAAAATTTTGTATGCTCAGCTTACTTTCTGACTTGCTAGTTACTTCAAATAAAATTTTTGCTACACAGTTTTCATGTATTAAGTTTCTTCCAGTCTCTTCATTTTTCAGATGTAAAATGACAATGCATTTGAAGTTAAAAGTACCTTTTAACCTTTTCAGATATTACAGTGTTCATTTGAAAAATGTTTTTTCCTGATACTTAGTTTTGTTTGCCTTAAGGTTGCTCCTTCATTCTGCTCTATTTTTGCAGGAACAAAGTAATGCAACACTATGTGAGGTCCAGAGAGAGGGATCTAAAAAATCGTGTGAACCTTTTTCAGAGGAGAAGAAGGAGCCATTTAAATGGACAAGATTGCCTGGACAGGTGAAGTGTTTTTCTTTGCTTTTCAAAGAAAAATAATTTAAAGATCTATTATCTAACTTTATTTTTATGATATAAGTATTAGGAAGCAATAGAGCAAATTTTAAAAATACTAAACAAAATGAGGAACTCTCAGAAATAGCAGAGGATGCTTAGCATATTACTAAATATGTCTGATTTAATAATTTTTTCCTAGAACAGTCAGGTATTTTTATCTCCAAAATTCTCTAGGAATTTGAAAGAGCAGGGCTAATCAGGTAGTGGAAGTAAGACAGGAAGCCAGTTCTTAGATTTCAACATGATTGGAAATATGTTTTCTTGGTTTTTTGGCATGTGGGGGTTTTTTTTATTACCTCAATTTAAAGTTATTTTTATAGTGTAACAGGATTATGAAGGAACTTTCATCAAAGAACCTTGTTAAGAAGGTTCTTGCTGACTTCATCCTAACTCCTAGATCACTGTAGCTAATGGAAATGAGCAATCATAAAAAGGGGAATGTTTTTGCAACTGTATATAGAATGTCCATGCAATGATTTCATATATTTGTGTATGTATATATATGAATATATAGATAGATGACATTATTTTTCAAAAATGTTCTACAGAATTATGGCTTATTTTATATGAGTTCAAAATGAAATTAATTTTATATGTGGGTCGTAGCTGTATGAATAAAATAAGTTTGTTTTGAGTTAAATTATTGATTCAATATTGTAATGTTTTATTTTAGAGAGAGGTTAAAGAGTATAAGAAGACTTAATTGCATATATAGTTTCTAACAAGATGTGTTTACCTTTATTCTGAAGTGAACAGCATATATTCAATTATTTAATAAATAAATCTATTTGTATACTTTTAAATGCATATGTATCTGTTCATACTCACTTTTCATTCATAAAAGTAAATCTGGTTTAGGTTAAATAATCAAATAGCTACTCTGAATATTTTATTTCCCCTTAAACTTTGAATTTAGTTCTGGAGAAAAACACCTTGGGTGAAAAGGAGGAAATATTCTGGGAGAGAGGAAGGGGGACTATACCTGTGCAATTTTTTGAAATGTTTAATCTCCAGTTATGTTTAAAAAAAATCAGAAATTGAAATACAAATGAAGAATATTAAAGGTGATTTGGTAGACCAAAGGTTTTAGTGCCTGTGGTTAGTCTTCTTGAGTTCACACTCTAATCATTAAGTTACTAAAAGTTGTTCTTAGACTCCATAAACAAGCTTGAGTTATAGTCTAACTCTGCATCTTAGATTATTGACAAGAGTCATCATTAAGCGCTTCTTAAGATTAAGGAAATTATGTCAATTTTAAATTTTCTTAGGTTTTTAAAACTTGCTCGTTGTGTGTAGTAATGGGGCAGAAAAGAATATACAAACTAGATGTGGCCTAGGTTATGCAACAGAACTGGCTCTGTTTATAAGGTTGAATTTTTCTTTTAAATTCCCTTAAGATGTTAGTAGCTTTTTGGAAGTTATGCATGACAGGAACTACAAATGTGTTTTAAGCATTGGGTAGTTAATATTCATAACTGTGTAATCCCAATTCTTACCTGAAAAGCTAGGTTTGCCGCATACCGAACAAGCATCTCTTTTCCCTACGAGGTGGAGATATGGGCTGTTTCTGTGTTGGTTTCTCTCATGATGGGAAAACACTGGCAGCAGCATGTGCAGGGAGGAATGGCTATCCCATTGTTTGTAAGTTTAACATATGGTTTGTTTGGGTTTTTTTCTTATAATGCATGTAGTTTGAAATTAAAGGGCAAAAGATGTGGTTTAAATTGTGTTTTTTTAAAGGTTTTATTTTATAATTATGGTTTGCAAATTGTTCTGTGCGTTAAAGAGCATCGAAGAAAAAACTCTTTCTGTGTTAATAAGGCTTAAACTGGCTTTTCATACATGGTAATATATGTATGATTTAATGGTATGAAATCACAGTGTTCCTGCACAGAGGTCTAAAGGAAATACTAAATTGGTTTGTATAAGGAACATGTTTTCTGATAATAAGGTTTGAAGTGAAGTAACTTTTCCAGCCCCCACCCCATATGCTTTTTTGTGCAAGGTTTTCTCGTAACCTGTCATGAAAAATTAGATCCCTGGAATATTGTCATCTCCAGACAGACTACTGGAGGCTGCTGTCTTCCATGATCCAGTTCAGCTGGAAGTATAAATATTCCTTATTACTTAAACTTACGGCTGCTTCTTTACAGTAGCTTCAACTGCATAGTTCTTAAAACCTGCGTAAGAATTCTGAGATTTAGAGAGAACGGTATTTTAAGTGTACACAAGGTAAGTGTTTAAATAGAAGGCACAGTCAGTCCAGATTCCTTTATTATACAGCCCCAGAAAGTGAAGTTGGGTAGCTGTTGAAATAAAGAAAAAAAACCCATCCTAATCTGGTTCTAATAATTTAAAGCAAGTAGGCTGTTTCTTAAGGGTTAAGACATTCGTGACATCCATGAACCACTAGATGGAAGTGTCTGCTTGCTGTCCATGCATGCCTAGCAAATATTTGATCTTGTTCTCTGAAACTGAGAAGGTAAAGACAATTGGTTGACTTATGCTAGCAGAAACTCAGCCTAAGATTAGACTAAATTTTGCACTAATAATTGCATATAATTGTTTGTAAATACTTACAAAATTTTTATTTTTCTTTTTAAACTTTACTAGTGTATGAAATTCCTTCTGGACAGCTCCTGGGAGAATTTTATGGTCACCTTAACATAGTGTATGATCTTTGTTGGTCAAAAGACAATCAGTACCTTCTTAGTGCATCATCTGATTATATTGTCAGGTCAGTATGATGAAGATGTTCTGGCAGATAGCGTCAGAAGCACAAAAGAAAGTGGTCCAATTTCATGTTTTACTACAAACTGTGCTATAAAGTTTTAATTAAAGATTTGATTGCAGTGGGACTTACTCTGTAATATAAAAATTGTGATGGCGTTAATCACTTACACTGTATTTACTATATAAGTTTCTAATGTTTATGTATTTGAGACAAAAGCTTTTCTAGACACTATAGTGTCTAAATCTACAGTGCAGCAAAAACCCAAAGGGCTTTATTTTTCAAGATGTCACTGAGACAGTTGGAAGATTCTATCCTTAGAGGAATTGCCATGTTATGAATGCAGTATAAAGTTTGCAAGCTTGAACATGAGGCAGAAGATTGAAAATTTAGGATTCAAGTGATGTGTATGAATTGGCCACATTGCACATATGTATGTATTTTTTTTTAGTTTTGGGCACTTAGTTAAATAATTCAACTTAAATTGCTGTAAATTAATTTTGGTAATATTATTGCCAAGACTGAATGTGTATGCATTTTCCTCTATAATTAAAAAGTGTACTTCAGTGCAGTGTTAATGTTAGAATGATAATCTGTTCAAGGTTTAAAAGCAAAACCCTCAAAACTGTAGCAAAACATGAAATATGGCTGTGACACTTCATGATTTTATTACGAGCAACTTCATAGGTTTTCATAAGGCTCTTTTTTTTTCTCTTCAGATCCCTATCTGTTGTTTCTGTTATGCAACTTAGTAATGCTACAGGCAGTTGCATAATTAAAATGCCAGAAGAATTGTTAAATGATATATTGTACGTGTGGAACTGTTTCGCTTTTTTTTTTTTTTTTTGCTGCTTGTATGTAGGCATGAAGAATATTTTGAGAGCTTACCCCATGTTTTTGTTTTTTATTTGGAAGCAGATTAAATAATAATTTTTTTTATACTGAAGTAAATATAAATTTCCGTCATTTATGTTACCTGTAAGAAAGCCTGGCTGTTCTTCAATTCTTGAGTTTGTGGCAGCAAGTTGAAACTGTAGTGGTCTGCCTCCTTTTCTGTGTACTATGCATAGCCACTTCACGAGTTGTTAGTTCCTATATTTATTGTCGCCTTAAACTCCTTAAAAAGTCTATGTTCAGGCAAGGAGTTTCTTCTTTTCCTCCTTCGTATTGGGAGCATTTTGCCATTGAAGTATGGTAGAATGAACCCGATTGCTTTAAAGTCATTGTTGGTTTATTATCTGGATTGTCTCAGGATGAGTTCCAAGTCAACTTGAAGAAAAATTTGGGAACTTATGTGAATCCTTCTTTACATAGTGTTTTATATGTTCCTATTGAGCCTTCTCAAGCTTTAGTCCCACATTATTTGTGAGCAATAAATTATTTATGTTGTTAGAGCAAAACCGTTCTAAAAGATAGGTAGATTCCTTGTGACTTTTGCATATAAAGTTGCAGGTTAATTGCTGTACTTTAAGGGACTGCGATTTTGGAACAAAGTCACCTCAGAGTAAGCTTAGAGTTCTTCAGTAGCTACCCTACCTGGAAGGGTGGTACTCAAACAATTAAATTCTGTATTGTACCTGACCGCACTCTGAAATGTGCTGCCCACCTGTATTTCGTGATCCAGATACCATTCCCTTCTTTATGCACTCATCTTTGGGGAAGGCTCAATAATGAAATGTGTAACATCAAACAAAAAACACTTCCCAAGAAAAATCTGATCTTCCAGCTATGGGTGGTGAAGGATAAGGAAGTAGATGAATAGTAAGAACTGAATTTATGGGAAGAAAACATCCTTGAGATCACAATCACTGTGTGGTAGGTAATTGTTCTTTTAAAACATTCCGGAGTTTTATTTATATTTAGAGGTCCTAAATGTTCCTTTGTGGGTTTTTTGTTCTACTTTTTTTTTTTTTTTTTAAACGAGCGCTACCCCAGAAGGTCTTAATAATTTGTTTATAACTCCTGAAAGAAAGAAACCTATCCATTCCATTGAATTCTTTATGTATCTTTTAAAATGTGCAAAATATCCATTAAACGAGTAAGTAGCCATGAACTTACTTTAAAGACAGAGTATTATGTAAAGTAGTAAATGTATCTTAATTCTTGTTAGAAAGTACCATATTAAAGGATGAAATACAGGTAAAACAAATTGTTAGAATTAACGGATGGTAAGTGTTTGCAAGCATTTACCTCTAGAACCACTAGCATGAAATATGGCGTCAGTTATGCCTGTGCATGTGATTGCTTTATACAGTAGATGTCCTGATATCCTTTCATTTTAGAATGTGGAAAATAGAAATGCAGGTGGCATCTGCAGTGAGACTTTTCCCTCATCCTTCGTTTGTTTACACTGCAAAATACCACCCAGTTGCTGACTGGTTGGTCGTGACAGGATGTTACGACTCAGTGATTAGAATCTGGAATACAAATGGGAAAGAAATCTATGGGCAACTGCTACAGGAGCTTGATGGTCACAAAAGTTTCGTCAACACACTTTGTTTTGATGCAGAAGGTATGTACTTAGTATTACCTTTTCAAATAGTTTTCAGTTGAAGACCAACTTGAGTGTTACTGGTTTGCTTTATTTAGGCAATGTGAAATGCTGTAATAGAATAGAACAGTTTAGCTGTGTTTGCAATTAATACATTAGTTTGATGCCTTGTTTGGACGAACACAAAGGGGCACATACTCCCTGTTGCAAATGGAGAGTAATCAGGAAAGGTAAGTGTAGAAAGGACAGGCAAACAAATGTGTAGTGATCAGGCAATGATGACTTGGCAAATTTTGGTCATTGTTTAGTTTTCATTGTCCCTATAACTAGCTGCTCAGTTAGCTAATGTATTGTACATATTGCAGCAAAATTAGCAGAACATAAAGCACAGATGCTACTGTTGAGAGGAGACAAAGGAGATCAAAAGCCTAGCAGTTAGTGTGGAGAGGTGAGTTGGAAAAAAGGCAGGTTTTGCTACAATGCTTCTGGGTGGAAGAATTATGTACTCATGTAAAAGCAGAAGCAGGAGGTCTGAAAACAGCTTCTAGAGAACTCTCAGAACAGAACTTCAGGACAGGAGAGTGCATGATCAGCAGAGTAGCAAAGGCAGCTCCACCATATTGTCGTTCAAAGTTATGAGCTGGATACAAAGATAAAGGAAATGAGTTGGCAGTAGCTCGATTGTGGAAATTTTAATGCTAGACTGAACAAGTGGGAAGGTGATGGGACAGAGAATGTGAAAAACTGAGAGAAAAGGACAGATGTGACCACTGTGAACTGTTATATGAACAGCTGAAAGTGAGTGAGATGTACTGAAAGTGATTGACATGTACTAGTGCAAGGTGGGACAGCTTGAAGATGGGTGAATGAATGATACTTGCAAGTGTTTGACTTTTTCTGGTGTTAATGGCATTGTTAGTATTTATTTATGTGGTTCGTTTTTGGAGGTATTCACTGGAGCAGGTACTATGAAGAAGAAAAGTGTTGCATTTTTCTAGAGAATAAGTATCTGTGCTTAATTTAAGAACAACTGTTAAAAACCAGTATTTGTTCTTGTCCAAGGTGCTCTCAGTGAATATATAGGTAGGCATTAGGCTATCATATGAAGCACATTGAGCCTATAAATGCTACTTTTTTTGCTGGTTCTAGAAAATGAGTAGAAGAATATTCAGCACACCAGTATCTGACTTATGTGCTGAATCCAAGTTTATGGTATCAACTTATGTCATGCAGTATAAGCAAAATATATTTGCAACTTGTGGTATCATAGCAAAAGAGAGGAAAGAATTGGTGCTCATCTATTCACAAAAATAACAGAAAAAAATTGTTTCTTGTTTATACATCCTTTTGCATAGTATTCTTCTACTTATAAGATGATGTTATTTCACAGGGCTCCACATGTTCTCAGGAGATGGTTCAGGAATGATAATAGTTTGGAATACATCTGTCAAAGGAAGTCGTCAACACCCATTTCAACACTGGAGAATTAATAAGGTATACAGGTTTCTTAAACTAGCATTGTAATTTTTATGTGAACTATTCCAATCTAGTAATTTGATTTGAATTCCAATTTTTTTAAACATGAACTTTTGTTTAACTGAAAAGGTGTATTTTCTTTAAATAATGGTACAAAAGAGCTGATAGAATGTGCTGTGATTCACTGACTTAAATTTTTTGAATGGTTTTGCAACTTCAATTTTTTGTACGTAAAACATAAAAATGCTCAAGGTTTAGTAGCACTGTATTAACAGATAAATGCTATTGTATTAGGTTTGTTCTCGAGACACAGCAATAAAGTAGACGACAGGCTTTACAAATCACCTTTGTTCATACCTTGGAGGCTTAATGTTCAATCAGTGTTTCTGTCATCAGCTGTGTTTCAGAAGTTCAGAATCACAGGAGAGTCTTCCTTGTGGTTATGAAAAGTTGATTCCCTAGGATGTAATGGCTTAATATAGGAACAAAACTTTTTCCTTAACAAATATAATGAAATGGACAGGAAAAGAGTAATGGAAGAGAAAAATTAATAATAATCTGTTATTATTTAAATTATTATTATTATTTAAACATGAGGTTTAAAACACAAAGTTCTGTTTTTAAATTTATTTTCCTTCTTTCTGGAGGAAATAAAAGAAAATGATATTAAAAGAACACCAGTAAATCATTTGGAGGTACATCCAAATGGAAGGCTTTTATTAATCCATGCCAAAGACAGTACCCTGCGAATCATGGATCTCAGATTGTAAGTAGGTTTTGGGTTACAAGTGCGTATTTCCTTTTTGTTCTAAGATTTACTAGGGGAAAGAAAGTAACATAAAACTGTTAAATTTGTAGTTGTGGAGAAGAAAGATGTCCTAATAATCAAGGATAGCAATATTAGGGTTAGGAAATTGTTTCAAAATACTGCCGTATTACACACCTTTTTTGTGAGATTGGGTAAGGCTTTTAGAATAGGATATCCAAAAAATTATTAGATTACTTGGGAGTTTAAGGTGGCATGAAGGAGAAGACACTAGTCTCCTAAAGATTGAATTTACTTTTAGAAATGAAATCTGAGCATGAAAATAACTTTGAAATTATAATATTTATTTGTGCATTAGTTTTGCATTGTTAAAACTTGGGGAAAAGTATTTTGATGATAAAATGGGATGAAGATTGTCATCATAAATACCTAAAAATGCAGTGATATACGTATTATGGTATATTAAACAGGCCACGAGATATTTATAACTTAGTTTTTTATTATTTTCTCATTTTTAATACTTATGAACATGAGTCTTTAATAATAAACTAAATAAAAAACAAGGGGATCACAGAATCACTTGAGTTGTTGAGTTTGGAGAGCATCCAATCCAACACCAATAATCAAAGCATGAGAGGTTGTTACTCAGGGCTTTGTCTAGTTGGGTTTTGAATATCTCGAGGGATGGAGAGTTTACAGCTTCTGTGAGCAACATGTTCTAGTGTTCATTCAACCTCAAGGTAAAATATATTTTTTCTTAATTTTATATGGAATTTCCTATATTTCAATTTGTGTCCATTCCCTCTTGTCCTTTCACTGGGTGAAACTGAGAAGAGTCTCACTGCTGTCAGTTACACGCATTGATAAGAAAGATGCACCTGAACATTCTTTTCTAGAAAGTCACATTAAAGATATGAATGCTCTTTCTAAATGATTCATCCTTCATTTCATTGGTTCCCTTTCTCCCCTTGCCATGCAGAAAATCAAAGGTCCCTGTTGTTCTAAGTGAAATTACCTGGGGGAAATACCTTTATGCTCTCATAGCACAAGAAACTATGTTCTTTTAGAACATGCTTTTGTACATATATATATACTCTCTCAGGAAATCTCACTCTTAAATAATATATTGGGTTGAATGTTTGAACTAGCTGAAGACTTTCCAATCTTACTGTGCACTCTTCATTTTTTACTGTAAATTATGAATTATAACGACCATGCTAGAAGGCTAAACTACCCACTCAATTGAAGCATGAAATCGGTGGATTAACAGAGGGAACCTGTAGTTTCTGAAGCAGATAGTGTTCTTTTGTCACTACCATTCCTAAAAAGTGCAGAGGGTTTTAGGTTGGGAGAGAAAAATGGAGATGCGTATTAATTTCTAAGAAAGGGTTAAAATGGTGTGCAATTTCACAATTATTTTAAGCTAGTTTATCTGTAGGACACACCATCTCCTCCTATCTCCCACACCTTTGGCCATGTATTCCTAGCATTTCCTTTTTATCAGCTGTAGAGATCTTTTAGTGCAAGGTAAGTCAGATTAGTGAGCTGATCTGACTAAAAATCAGCCTCCAAATACAAATGATAAATTTTCATTTTAATCGCCTATCTGATCTAACTCATCTGATAGCTGCCCAAACACTACAGAAGAAATGAGGGAGAGCCTGGGAAAACCAGGGTGGAGAGGACAGCAGCAGGACTGCTCCTTTGACCGCAGCCCACAGTTACATTGGCTTAGGTCGATCAATAAACCCCAGGGTCAGATACCCAGCGGTGATAATTTTTCACGTCAGCATTAACTGTTCATTCCCTGCATGAGAAAAGAGGGGGTGGAGGTCACAGATCAACACAATTCACTTTGATTGACAGCTAGTTGTTCTTAACTTCCCTCTTTCAACTTTCTTTTTTGATCTTTTTGGATAATCCTGCTGTCCTGTCATTCAGGTATGCGAGCAGGGATTTGGTTTTGGTTCAGATGTCTCCTTAGGGTTTCATATGTAGGTTAGTTTTACATCTTGCAGAGCTCTTCAACATGACATCTCAGAGATACTATCTTTCTTATTCACACAGCTAAAACTCTTACTTGGGCTAATACGGTCTTGCACTGTGATCATTAGAGCATCCTTTTCTCTTGCTTGCCAAATTGAATTGTATCTAAGGTATATTTATTCAGAATATTGTTTAAAATTATTTTCCTGTCATATTAACTGCACTGCACTTCTCCCAGCATAACTCCATTGTTTCTGCAGTAAAACATTTTAAAACTTACTGCCTTCTGTCTTTTAGGGCAGTGATTGCCTATTGCCATTCTTGCCTCGAATTTTGCATTGTAGTACTACTGTTGTATTAGTCTCCATTTGGAACTTTAATATCCCTTTCCAAGCTGTACCTCATGAGGTAGCCTCATACAAGCTGGCTTATGCTTCTTTAAATCCTTCTGTATATTCTCTCTCACTTGATGCCTATAAACTGTTTGACAGTAGTTCATTAGTAGGTCATTAGTACGGTGCTGACCAGTAGTGTTTTCCTGCAAAAAGATTAGGATACCTAAGTTGCAAAATAATATTAAAAAAATGTTAGTAGTAAATCAACATTGATGTCTGAAATTCGTTGATTATACTGCTGTTTTTCTAACCAAGGAGACGTTAGTCTGAAGAGCTAAAGAGAGCTGCTGGATAAATTTAAGCACCACTGGGATGTAAGCAAAGTCAGGAAGCATAATGAAAACTCTTTTGGCAGAGCTTGGAGTAATAGTGCCAATTTCCCCATCTTTTACAAAGATCAGGATCAAGAAAATGCAAATTAATACATCCATATCCATCCTCTAGATCTGAGTATTTCCATTTCTATTGAAAGACAAGGATGTACTGTTTCATCTGTAACTTCAGGTGCAGTATGAAAGCCAGGGAAAAGAAAGGGTAAACACTGCATTCTGCAAAAGGTGCGTATCTATTTGGGATACAAGGTGTATTGATTTTTCTGCGGAATAGAGGGGGGGACTGACACTTAAAAAGTTAGATTGTCTGTTTTGAAAGTATCTGCTGCATTTGCCTACTATTCTTTATCTTTAGCTTGGTTACAAGGAAATACCTAGGTGCCACAAATTACGTAGAAAAAATTCACAGCACCTTAACGCCATGTGGCACGTTCCTATTTTCTGGAAGTGAAGATGGAAAGGCTTATGTTTGGAATCTAGCAACAGGTAACTACTTTATGATCTTAAGCCAGGTTGTCAAGGCTGAGGGGGAAAGGGTTTTGTAACCTTTATCGAAACACTTTGGATGTGGAATAAAACTTCAGTAAGACATGCTTAAATCCTGAAGCCTTAGCTCCACCTTTTATATAGCTATTATTAATCTCTATGATTTAATTCTCTAGAGGAAATTAATAGTCAGTGGTAGTATTAGGAATGGAGCACCCAAAGCTCAGCTTTTTGTGTACCTCAATTCTTTACATGGATGACGGTCTGAAAATGGAATGCACAAAAATGTTTTAAGTTAAATCAGTCTTTCAGTTGTTTTTTTTTTCAGATTTGGGAATTAGGCTTTTGTTGAGAACCACTTCATCTGTTTCCCAAGGGTGGTCAGAGACTCTGAGTATTTTTGGCCTTCGGAATATAAGGTTTCTTTGTGAATTACTCCCCAAACTGAGTAGATTCAAAATAGCTACCAAAAACTTTCTGGACAAATGTTAAGCAAATGTAAGATAAAGGGTTTGTCATCATCATTGTACAGTGAGATAAAAGGGACAAAAATAACAGCAGAATGTGGCAAATACTTTTTGGTTATGTTGACATTATATTCTGTCTCCAGTTATGATCTAAATAATTTTTTAAAAAGGATAAAGTAGATATTTTAAAACTGGCAGCTAACCAACAGTTTTATTTTTAATTTCTTTCCATGTTTCCAACTATATTAGCTTACATCTATACCACTACATAATTTGTCTGAAAACTTTAAAAAAGAACAAAAGTAAAAGGAGGGAGGAACTTGGTTATTAATATGTTTTCACCAGGTTTTCACACTGGCTTACACACTGTACTTGCATTGATAATGCCATCAGCTGAAGAGCTAATTTTTAATTTTTTTTAAAATATTTTCGTGCTCAACTTTCACTCCTATTGTCACTATTATATAATTGAAATCCACAACTAAGATAGCTATCTCTGGCAAAATGCAAGCACAAACAAATACCCTGGAACGCCACCTTTCCAGAACTTGCTTATCAGAACAAGAGAACTCGACTAACCTGGTGCATCCTCTGGGGCTTCCTGCAGTTGTTGCAACAGCACTGATTTTTCTTATTCATTCAATAACTCAAAAGCAACCAATATTTTTTGTCTTATGCCAAGTAGTACTTTTCAATAAGGAAACTGACTGCAGAATATTTATTTACAGTGGCAGTCACTGGGCTGTAGTAATACAAGCTTTAACCAACTGTTGTTTTGCTGTATCACATATGTTCCCATGGTATTAATAAACGTATTTCACTTCTGTAGGAGATCAGGTGGCCGTATATTCTGAACGGCCCTTCGCATCTCCACTTCGTCATGTTGCCTTTCATCCACACGAACACATGGTGTCATTTTGTGCCTATGGTAAAAACCAGCCGATACTTGTATACATTTATGATTATAAAGGTACAGTACAAATTTTCTTAATACACACCTCTAAATATTTTATTTTTGTAAGTGATTTGCTAGTATTTGGACTTTTTTTGAAGTCAAAAGAAAACAATCATTTGATGATAATACGTATCTTTATTCTGAGAGATATCAAAACCAAACTGGACATGACCCTGAGCAACCTGCTCTAGGTGAGCCTGCTTTGAGCAGGGGCTTTGGCCTAGACAGTCACCAGAGGTCCCTTGCAACTTTAAGTTTAAATGTTGTTTAAATGTGTTATCCTGTGTGATTCTTACAGCACTTTATCACTTACAGGCAGTGTCATACAAATATTTAAAAGCCTCTTTTCATTATCAAGGGGGATTATGGAGCCAGAAAATATTCTCATTCTGGAAATTATTGAATGGCTTAGTGGAATTCTCAATATTTTGTCCTGGCTGTCTTACAAAATAATGTTGAGGAGCTGTATAGAAGGGAATTAATGTGAGAGAGTATAGATTGTTTTAATAAACAGATGTTACGTCTGCAGTGTGATTATGTGAGAGTTATGTTTATTCCCCGTGTTATGTTAAAGAGAAGATAGTGAGAAATTATAACTTTAAATTTTTGATATACAAAATAAAATTTAGACTGTCCTTTGAAGGCTTTTCTGATAGTTGTGTTTTTGTGGTTAGCTATAGCAGGGTCACTGTTTCAATTAAGGACAAAGTTTCACATGTCATGTTGCATCTAGACAGTAGATAAAGTTAATACAAATTATGCAATAAATTTTGCGTATCTGTAAAAGATTATTGTTTGAATTTTATTTGCAGTGAACATAAATTTATAAAGCTAATCCTGTCTTCATACATTTTCTTTTTAAATAACGTGTAGTAATGAGATTACTCATATCAAATCTCACAGTTTAGGTTATTTGTCTGTTGAACTGGTTGACTTTTACAGGAAAATAAAGTGGAATTACTTTACAATCAATATTCAGTGCTAAACTTCAACCCAGTAAGATATCTGCATTCTAGAGAGCAATGGAAATTTTTTTGTGTGAAGGATTTCTTTAAAATTTTTTGACTGTTCAGCAGACAGTATCTTTAAAAAGCTAATATGGTAGTTTAATATATATATGTGTGTGTGTGTGTGTGTGTGTGTGTTTAGACATCACACAGATACCACACTGGTACTTATCTGACTGCTCAGCTAAGTCACTGGTGACAGTAAGATTTTTGCATAGGTTGTAGTCTTTTCTACATTCTTACTTTTTGTTCCTTTTTTTGGTTAAAAGCACGCACTTTGCTTTCAGAAGATATTCTTACTGCCTTAGTGTTGAAGGGGTTAATCATATGGTAGAACTAATTTTAGTCACTGACACAGTTTTAAGACTCCAACAGTATGTGTTTTGCATACACTAACAGTTTTATGAATATTTTGGACAAAACTTTCATGAAGAATTCTTTTAACCTTTGTTGTCTTGAGACCACAGTACAAAAAAATTGCAGAAGTCAAACAATTTGTTTAAATGACAGTAAGTAGAACTTGCAAGGCTGTGCTGCCATTCAGCGAGACCT